ATCAGTTGAAAGAGCCGTGTGGGCTTCCTGTTTCACACCTGACAGGGTCCTCTCTCAGAATCTTCTTTTTCCTTTAAAGGTAGTTGTATCTGTTTCACTGCTGCTCATGTGAGCACTTTGAGATGCTTTGACTGTTATGTCCATGGTGTGTAATCGAGCAAAATCCGTTTTGTCGTTGCTTTGAGGACACTTTGCTCTCACCAGACACCCCAATCGATGCTCCACACTGAGAAGCTTCTAGGTCATAGTGGGACTCTTTCTTCAGTTGTTTTCCAGTCTCTTACCACACACAGCTAAGTGACTAGACCTAACCTTTTCAGAAAGACTCAAAAGTAAGGGTGTAGCGTTCTCTCTTCCCTCACTCCACCCATTTACTTAGTTACAGGAGAGTCTTTTCTTTTAAATTTTTTAATGTTTATTTATTTTTGAGAGAAAGAGAGACAGAGTGTGAGTGAAAGAGGGCCAGAGAGAGAGGGAGACACAGAATTCAAAGTAGGATCCAGGCTCTGAGCTGTCAGCACAGAGCCTGACCCAGAACTTGAACTCACAAATTGTGAGATCTTGACCTGAGCCAAAGTCGGATGCTTAACTGACTGAGCCACCCAGGCGCCCCTCAGCAGGGTCTTGAGCTGTCTCTTCTCCTCCCCCCCCCCTCCCCAAATCCCATGGAGGTCAGCCTGTTGGCTTCTCCAGTGAGCTGGAGGACTTTGTTATGGGATAACTGCTGGTTCCCTTGTTTTTTTGACACGAATCTAGCGCTCTCCCCCTCCCCCCCTTCTCTCCTCAAGGAGGGACATTCGTAAGTGCTGGAGGCAGTATGTTATTTCATTGTTCTTGTTTATTCTCCAGTTCCCTGCAAGGGGTGGAATCTTCAGGGAGAAGGGCCCTGGTGGAAAATCGGGAGTCTGCACAGCCTGCACCACTGCTGACCTGAGGCGTGTCCTTGCCCCTCTCCATCTCAGCTCCGCAAAAGCACAGCCTCTCCCCTGCTCCACAGGTGTGTACCTTTCTAGAATTTAGTCGTTTGTGGAATGCTTGGGTTGAATTTCACAAGGCCAGCAGGAGGAGGGCTGTGGCAGGACCATGTCAGGAAACTGAGCTCTGACCAGCAGTCGTTGGTCACATACGGAATGTCTGAGAATGAGAGCCTCAAGTCACCTATAAATGGGGATAAAAATAATTTATGTGGCACACAATATAGCATATTTAAATTTTTATTAGTAATTTGAATTTATTACTTTTATTAAAACTTGGATTACAAGTTTAAAACAATATAGATAACACAAAAATTTTAAAGCTCCAAAAATTATGCATAAAAAGTCATTCCTGGGGCACCTGGCTGACTCAGTCGGTTGAGTGTCCGACTTTGGCTCAGGTCATGATCTCACGGTTCGTGGGTTCGAACCCCGCTTTAGGCTCTGTACTGACAGCTAGCTCAGAGCCTGGAGCTTGTATCAGATTCTGTCTTCTCTCTCTGCCCCTCCCCCGCTCACGCACTGTCTTACTCTGTCTCTCAAAAACAAATAAATGTAAAAAAAAAATTTTTTTAAGTCATTCCTGGGGTGCCTGGGTGGCTCAGTCAGTGAAACATCCGACTTTGGCTCAGGTCATGATGTCACGATTCATGAGTTTGAGCCCTGCATTGGGCTCTGTACTGACAGTACAGAGCCTGCTTGGGATTCTCTCTTCCTCTCTGTCTGTCTCTCCTCCACTTATGCATTTTCACTGTTTCTCTCAAAATAAATAAAATACATTTTTAAAAATGTCATTCCCCACCCTTGTTTTCCTTCCACAATAATTAATTTGTTACCTGCTGTATCACAGGATAAATGTTACTAGTGTTAATAGCTACTATTTATCAGGAACCCACTTTGTGTCAGGATGGTAACATAACAAGGGATGATAACATCCCTACATTCACCCTGTTTGGTAGATGGCCTTGACACTGTTTTGAGGGGCAGGAAGCAGGCTCAGAGGGACAGAACATTTTGCCTGGCAATACATGACATATAAGAAGAGAATCCATATTTTAAATATTTTAAAATATTTATTCATTTTTGAAAGAGAAAGAGAGACTGACCGCAAGTGGGGGAAGGACCGAGAGAGAGGGAGACACAGAATCCAAAGCAGACTCCAGGGTCTGAGCTATCAGCACAGAGCCTGATGTGGGGCTTGAACCCACAATCTATGAGATCATAACCTGAGTCAAAGTTGAACACTTAACTGACTGAACCACCCAGGCACCCCAAAGAGAATTCAAAATTTAAAAACCCAAGTGATTTCATGTTTGTAAATTACCTAGAACAACTGATATTAACTCATCCTACCCGTACACCTGAGGCCTTTCCACCAGGAGCTGGGCAGACAAGCTCCCTGGGAGAGAATGAGGGAGGGTGTTTTTATATCCATACAGCCATCACACAACACTAGTAAAAATAACGGTAGCAGGTGCCAGGCTAGGTCGGCTGTGTTCCTGACATGGATCATTTTAGATTCATAACCACCCTCTGAGGCATGTTCTACTGTTCCCATTTTGTAGAAGATAAAACTCAGGCTCAGAGAGGTTAAAGAATTTGGTTCACTTAGAAAAGAAGTAGCAGAGGGAGAATTCAAATCCAGGCAGTCCATCAGGAGGGCCTAAGCTCCTCAGTTCTCTACTCTGGGGGCGCCTGTGTGGCTTAACCAGTTGATTAAGCATCTGGCTTTGGCTCAGGTCATGCTCTCGTGACTCACGAGTTCGAGTCCTACGTCTGCCTCTGTGCTGACAGCTCGGGGCCTGCTTGGGATTCCCTCTCCCTCTTTCTTTGCCCCTTCCCGACCCGTGCTATCTCTGTGTCTCTCAAAAAAAAGAAATAAACTTAAAAAAAAATCATTTCTAAAATAACAAACATCTACTTTGCTCATGAATCTGTAGTTTGGGCAGGGCTTGGTGGGTTCAGCTTATTTCTGCTCTGTGTGGCATCAGGGGGTAGGGGTAGGGGGAGAGGGGGCTGAAGGCTGGGGCTGGAACCATCTGAGAGTTACTGAGGGTTACTGACATGTCTAGCGGATGTGGCTGGTCGTCAGCTGAACACCTACACATGGGCTTTGCCGGCCACTGCTTGGCTTCTTCCCAGCACGGCAGCCCAGCGACATCATTAGCCATTAGACAATGCGAGTTAAAACCACAGTAAGCTATCACCACACCCCTACTAGAACATCAAAGACAAAAAGATTGGCCATATGCAGGGTTGTCAAGGATGCTCTCATACAGACGTTTTGGAAAAGGGCTGGGCAGTTTCTTAGGAAGTTAAACATCCACTTACCCTGTGACCCAGCCATGCAACTCCAAGGTAATCACCTTGAAAGGAAAGTGTATGTCCATACAAAGGCTTACATGTGAATCTTCATGGCAGCCTTATTTGAAGGAGCCAAAAATGAGAAACAACCCAAATGTCCATCAACAGGTGAACAGATAAGTAAATTATGGCATACAGTGAAATACAATCAGCAATAAAAATTAATGAACTCTGGGTACATGGAATAACATGGACAGCTCTCAAAGTTATGATGCTCCATGAAAAAAAACAAAAAGGTGCATGCAGTGTTATGCAATTTATATAAAAAGTCTAGAAAATGCAAACTGACCTGTGGTGACAGGAAGCACACCAATGGTTGCCTGGAGATTCTAGAGGTGGGGTGGGGGTGGGGGGGATGACAGGGGGACATGAGGAAACTTTTAGGGTGGAGGATGTGTTCTGATCCTGATAGCAGTGATGGCTTCAGGGGCATGTACATGCCAAAATTTACCAAGCCATACACTTTGAATACGTATAGCTTACTGTGCATCAATTATATCTCAGCTTACAAAATGAATACTAACTTGGGTGGAAAAAGAAAGGGCGTGTGGGGTTAGATGCATTGTGGTGGCCATCTTGGAAAATGCGACCTACCTCATTCACCAGCTGTTTCCAACATGCCGGGTACTGTGTGTGCTAAGTGCTTTTTGGGTCTGGCACGGAGTCCACCCGATAACCTGAAGGGAAGATGAGGAGGTTGCCAGTTATTTATTGTTATTATTATCTTGTTTGTTATTGCAGAACCATGAGGTCTTGGTCTCTCTGGACAGGAGGATGTCTCAGGACTCTGGTGAGCAGGACGTCAAGGCTTTTCTCCCCGAGCTGCAGGACAAACTGCGGGCCACTTCTTGGGATGGTCAGGAAGCAGAGGCGCCCTTTAGAGAGCAACATGGACAAACAGTGAGGTGGAGACTTTGTGAGAATGTGGGGATATGACTACCAAACTAAGAAGCAGGGAGGAGGTAGCAGAGGGGCCCCTCTTGGGCCGGAGCTGTCCCCCCTTCTTCTGTTACATTAGTCTCTTTGGACAGATAGATACCTGCTGAGGACCCTCTGGTCACTGCATCCAGCTCTGGTTCCCAGAGGAGAAGTCCTCAAAGATCCTCTGAAATTGCCCCCATGGCTCAGCTTCCAGGGAGCACAGGTGACCCAGGCCCAGCCAGCCCACTGATCACAGGGATTGGTTTGGGCAAGTGCACGGTCCAGGCTAGGTCAACTGACATCAGCCTCGGACCTGTGCTCTAAGTAACAGGAAGGAGACTTTTCCTTTTCCCTGAGGTGGCTGTGCTGGCCAGTGTGAGCCTTGGGCCCTTGGGGGCATCTTCCCACCACATGTGGAGAGCCTGCCTGGAAACCAAACCGAAAGAAAGATGGATACAGAGCAGAGAGAAGGAAAGGGATGTGCTTCTGATATCACAGTTCAGTCCTGCGGATCTGCCAGACCCCTGGGGCTGGAACCTTTTTGGGACTTGTTTCAGGGGTCAATAAACCATGCCCTTTGCTTAACTACTTGCAAACCAAGTAGTCCTCTGTGCTTCGCCCCAGCACTCGGATGCCCCACCTCACCCCTTCAGGGGCTTTCCGAGAGACCGGATATTGGGGTTGGCCCACAACTGCTCTGCGCCTGTGTCTGCCCCCCACCTTCTGCACCTAGGGAGGAAGCCGACGCCAAGCCCCTGATTCCAGGGGCCACAGGGAGGGCTCAGCTTGAGAAGTGCTGCATGCTCAGTCCAGCCTTGGGCTGTTATGGAGATGGCATCCCCACCAAAGCTTCTGAGTAGAGTCACGATGTCCTGGCGTGGCTGGGCCCTGTGTGTCTGGCTGATGCACTCTGTCTCAGGTGAGGTTCTCCCTTCTCCCTGTCCCAGATCCTAATTAGGCCTCTCTCTCCTTTTAAAATATCTTTTTAATGTTTATTTTTTGAGAGAGGGAGAGCAACAGAACATGAGTAGGGGGAGGGGCAGAGGGAGACACAGAATCTGAAGCAGGCTCCAGGCTCTGAGCTGAGATCAGGACCTGAGCCGAAGTTGGCCGCTCAACTGACTGAGCCACCCAGGCGCCCCTTTCCATTTTAATAGGGATGGAGGTTTATGAGTGTGGGCAGATTCTGGTTTAGGAGCCTACAGAGGAGCAGGGGGGAGTATTGGAAGCTGAGGGAGGGAGGGTGGCTGGTGCACAGCCAGGCAGACCCCTCAATCCCACCTCCTAGGCCTGAGTGCCGAGAATGGGAGGGGGTGCAGGGGCTGGACAGACAGAGTGGCTTGGGCAGGGTAGCTGAAGGATGAGAGGAGCGGTTTCAGTACTTGGGGAAGGTGGGGGGAGGCAGATCATTTGAGCCATGCAGTCCGATGGAGCTGAACAGAAATAGTAGAAATTGGTGACATTGATTAAGCAGTCACTGTATGCTAGACTTGATCTCATTTAATCCTTATGACAATTCTGTGAGGTAGATTCTACAGCCCTCCACTTTACAGTGAAACCGAGGCTTAGATAAGGTGTCCACAGTCACGCGGCTGGTAGATGGGGGTCTGGTGAAAGTGGTGGCGTTCCGGAGGGGTGGGGGATGGGCTGGGGCATGACGTTGGCACCAGCAGGAGCAGTGGTTGGCTGGGGGCCATCCAGGTGGCAGGAGGTGACCCAGGCTTGAGAGGCTTTGGTGGAGGGGAGGGTAGCTGGGTGACAAGGTATGCAGGACCTGGCGACTGGGACTTGTCTGCCAGCTGGTAACCTCCAAGGCTGGGGAATGCAGGGGGTGGGGTGGATCTTCCTCACTCTACTTTTGTGGAAATGAGACCAGAGGGAAACTGAGGCACCCTCAGGGAAGAACTACCCGCAGCATGCTTGTACAGGAGCCCGCAGAGAGGGTGAGGGAGAGATCAGGCATGGAGACTGGGGCAGTGGGAAGGCTGATGGATGGGTGGGAGGGGAGGAGAGTGGGGTTAGCCCCTGGGGGGTGAAGGTAGACTGGGCTTTGACCCTGGAGTGGTCAAGGTAAGTACTACAGAAAGGTCAGGAGAGACAAGGGCGAGGAAATACCAGTACGTACTGGGTCTTGGTATTTGAGTGTGATGGGGGAGAGAGACTTGTTCTTTTCAAAATGCGAAACTTTTAACTCCTGATGTTAGTAATAGTAAAGCCTGCAAAATAAAATCAAACATCAGCAGAAATATTACAAGCTGTAAGACCTCCCATGACCCCAAACCCACACACTACTGCTGTTAACGGTTTTAAAATTTCCTTCAGATCTTGGGATACGAGCAAAAAGATACATACATTTATAAGAGAATTCCCATTGCTCCCACATCTTTACTGAAACGGAGTATTACCTGTCTTTTTCATTTTAGCCATTGAGGTATACACCTGATCTCATAGTCTTAATATCTGTTTCCCTGATGAATAATGGGATTGAGCAGGTTTCCATGTTTGTTGACCTTTAGAATATCCTGTTCTGTGAAGGGCCTGTTCAAATCTTTTGTTTCATTTTTTTTTATTGGGTCATTTGACTTTTTGTTAATGATTTATGGGAGATCTTTATATAATATAAATAGAAATCCTCTGATGGTTATATGTGTTGTGAGTATCTTCCACTCCATGGATCTTTTCACTACTGTTAATGGTGTCTTCTGATAAACAGACACCCCCAGTTGTAATGTTGTTTACATAGAAGTTTTTCCATTATCATTGGCTTTTTTTAAGTGTTGTATTTAAGAAATCTTTGCCTACTAAGATTTCTTTCCAAGATTTATGCTGATAAAGATATTCTTGGGGTGCCTGGGTGGCATCCGACTCGGCTCAGGTCACGTTCTCACAGTTTGTGAGTTCGAGCCCTGCATCACGCTCTCTGCTGTTAGCATGGAGCCCACTTAGGATCCTTTGTCCGCCCACTTCCCCCCTTCTCTGCTCATTCTTGCTTTCTCTCTCTCTCCAATAAATACACTTAAAAAAGAGAAATTATCCTATGTTATCTTTTAAGCTTTATTATTTTACATTCCAGATTTAGATGTTAATCCAGCTGAAACTGATTTCTGGTTGCACTCTATTAAGAGTTAGAGGTTAAAGTTCATTGTTTGTGCCAAAAAAAAAAAAAAAAAAAAACCCACACAGCTGTTCATATGTGCATATCAAGTTGACCCAGCACGAAAGAACTGTCCTTTCTCCATAGCATTGTAGTATCCCTTTGTCATAAAACTATATACATGTTTTGGATTCTGTCTCATGTTCCACTGATCCATTGTGGAACCAGACTGTTTTCATTATATTAGTCCTTTAAAAGTTTTGCTTCTTGGGAGTATAAATCCTCCAGTTTTGCTGTTCTTTGTGATTGCCCTAGATATTCTAGGAATTTTACATTTCCATAAAAATTTTAGAATCGGCTTATCATTTTCCACAAAAAGACCTGCTTGAGTTTGACTGAAACTTTTAAATGTATTAAGACTTGTTTTATAGCTCAGAATATGAGCTAAGTTTGACACTATCATACTGAATGTTCCAAGGCATGCACGTGGTATATACTTATTTACATTTTAAACATTTCTTTCAATAATAATGTTGTATATATTTCAGTGTAGATGACTTGCATATTTTTATTAAGTTTATTTCTAGCGGGACACCTGAGTGACTCTGTTGGTTAAGCGTCTGACTTTTCATTTTGGCTCAGGTCGTCATCTCATAGTTCTTGAGTTTGAGCCCTGTGCCAGGCTCTGCATTGACAACACGGTGCCTGCTTGCCATTTTCTGTCTGTCTCTCTGCCCCTCCATAGCTCATGTGCGTGCTCTCTCTCTCAAAATAAACTTTAACAAAAAAGATTTCCAGGTATCTGTTGTTTTTGATGCTATCATGAATAGAATTTTGTTACTTTCATTGTCTACTTATAGTTTATATAGAAATAGAATTTATTTTTCTATATTTACCTTATATCTAGTGACCTTGATAAACTCATTTACTAATTCTAATAGTTTATACATTTAAAAATTTATTAATGCATACCACTAAGCTGTCTGCAAATAAAATTTTATTTTTTCCTTTCCTTATGTGTTTTTAGAAACAACTTCTATGAAGTGTACATGTTATACAACTCACCCATTTTACAAATTTTACAATTTGTTTTCAATAAGTGTACCAAGTTGTGCAACTATAGCCAACATTGAGTTTTAAAGCATTTTTATCATCTGAATAAGATCCCCCATGTCTGTTTCCAGTTACTGTAAAAAATGTGTCAGTAACACCCACACATTTTTTGACATATCACGTTCTTATTTTTATTTACTTCTAAATATGGTTATACTTCCAGATTTGTTCTTTCACCAATAGGTTATTTAGAAATGTTATTTGCCAAACATTTGGAAATTTTCCAAATCTTTGTTACTGATTTCTAATTTAATTCCACTGTGGTCAAAGAACATTGTTTGTTTGACTCGAATCCTTTTAAATGTATTAAGACTTGTCTTATGCTCAGAGCATGATCTAAGTAGATAAAGGTTCAATGGGCATTTGAAAAATAAGTGTATTTGGGGGGCGCCCGGGTGGCTTAGTTGGTTAAGCGTCCGACTTTCGCTTAGGTCATGATCTCGCGGTTCGTGGGTTCGAGCCCCGCGTCGGGCTCTGGGCTGACTGCCAGCTCAGAGCCTGGAGCCTGTTTCAGTCTGTGACTCCCTCTCTCTCTGACCCTCCCCTGCTCAAGCAGTCTCTCTCTCTCTCCTAGAAATAAATAAAACATTAAAAAAAATTAAAAAGAAAAAAAAGAAAAATAAGTGTATTTGGGGGTTGTTGGGTGGAGTGTTCTAGAAGTACCACTTAGCAAATTGGTTGATGGTATTATTCAAGTCATCATTACCCTCAGTGATTTTCTATCTACTTGTTCTATCAAATATTACAAGATTGGTGTTGAAATCTCTGGCTGTTATTGTGGATTTGTCTGTGCAGTTCTATTATTTTTGCTTTTTTATTTTGAAATTCCATATGTGTGTAGATGTTTAAGATTGTTATATTCTCTTAATGAATTGAACTCTTTAACATTATGAAATAAAACTTTCTATTAGTAACATTCTTTGCCCTGAAATCAACTTTATTTGATTTTGATACTGCCCCTTCAGTTTAAAAAAAAAGATCATAGTAGAATATGTGGTATGACATTGCTGTCCTTTTTCTTTTAAATTATTTTTGTCTTTATGTGGGTTTCTTGTGGATGGAATATAGTTAGGCTTATTTTCTTATCCAATCAGACTTTTTTTTTTAATATTTTTTTAATTTATTTCTAGGAGAGAGAGAGAGAGACAGCGTGAGCAGGGGAGGGTCAGAGAGAGAGGGAGTCACAGACTGAAACAGGCTCCAGGCTCTGAGCTGGCAGTCAGCACAGAGCCCGACGCGGGGCTCGAACCCAAGAACAGCGAGATCATGACCTAAGTGAAAGTCGGACGCTTAACCGACTAAGCCACCCAGGCGCCCCATTATCCAATCAGACTTTTAATTGAGGTGTTTAGACTACTTACATTTAATATGATTATTGATATGGCTGGGTTTATGTCTTTCTGGTGAAATGACCCTTTTACATCATTAAGTGTACATCGTCATCTCTTGTACTATTTCTTGCCTTAAAGTCTATTTGATCTGATGTTAGTATAGCTATGTCAGTGATAATAATATTTTACTTTCAAAGTTTTGAAGTCTTAATATTTAGGGTATGACCTTTATTAGCAGGTTATAGTTGTTAGATTTTGATCCATTCTGTCTATTCTAGTCTTTTAATAGAATTTAGTCCCCTTATATTTAGTGTAATTACTAAATATTTGGGTTTATACCTACTATACTACTTGTTCCTTTTCCTCTTATCTGTTGTCTTCTTTTGCATTCTTTTTTTTAAATTACTTTGGGGAGAGAGAGGCAGAGAGAGGGGACAGAGAACTCCAAGTAGGCTCCACACTGAGTGCAGAGCCTAGCATGGGGCTTAAACTCAAACTGTGAGATCATGACCTGAGCTGAAATTAAGAGTCAGATGTTCAACCAACTGAGCAACCCAGGTGCCCCTGGATTCTTTTTAAGAATATATTCCCTCGTCTAAAAACTTGTTAATTATACATTCTTTTATTATTTTTTTTAGTGGCTACTCCTACAGATTAAAATATGCATTTCTGACTTCATGCTCTAATATAATACTACTTTGATCACTTCCCTAATAAGGCTATAATGTTAGAGTATTTTAACTTCACTTGTCTCCTCCCAACTTCTGTGTTGTTCTTATAAGACATTTTAAGTCAACATTTCTATTACTTTGTACAGACAATATTTATTTATATTTAACAACATATTTACCCTTTCTATTGTTCTTCATTCCTTCATGCGGTTCTGTATTTCCACCTAGGATCATTTTTCTTTTGCCTGGAGATTTCCCTTTAGGATTCCTGAAGATGACAAATTATCTCAGCTTTTATCTGAGAACATCTTTATTTTAAAGACTGTTTCATTAGGTTTTCATTAGGTAAAAAAAATTCTATGTTGACAGGTTTTTTTTTTTTCACGTGAGAACTTTAAATGTCCTTCCATTGCTGTCTGGCTTTCATCATATCTGATGAGAAGTCAGCCATCAATCTTAGTGTAACATAGTACAATGACCAAAATCAAGAAGCCAACATTAATATGATTCAGTCTTACTCATATATATATATGATATATTACTCTTTCTATATTACTCTTTCTATATATATATATATATATAGTCCAAGATCATCCAATCTATGATCCCACACTGCACTTCATTATCACGTCTCTTTATGCTCCTTTAATCTAGAACATTTCCTTAGTTTTCACCCTTTCATGTTAGAGTGCAGGCCAGTTATTCTGTAGAATATACCTCAACTGGGGTTTGATGCTTCAAACCTGATGTTTCCTCATGATTAGATTAAGGCATGCATTTATGACACGAATACTGTAGAAAGATTGTGTTCTCAGTGCACTATATCAGGAGGCACATGATATCTACTTGCCCCATTCCTGTTGATACTAATTTTGTTTCTGTGGTTGGGTGCCTGGGTGGCTCAGTCAGTTGAGTGTCCGACTCTTGATTTTGGCTCAGGTCATGATCACACTGTTCATGGGATTGAGCCCCACATTGAATTCTGTGCTGACAGTGTGAAGCCTACTTGGGAGTCTCTCTCTCCCTAGCTCTCTGCCCCTCCCTCACTCATGCTCTTTCTCTTAAAATAAATAAACTTATCAAAACCCAAAATGTTTTATCATCTATTGATGCTTCTTCCCTGAGTGATTATTACTGTGGTGGTTGTCAAATGGTAGTTTCCTAATTCCAAAATTCCTTTACAATTAGTTAGAAGACTATGGAATACAGTTTTTTTTTTTTTTTAATATTTTTTAATGTTTTATTTATTTCTAGGAGAGAGAGAGAGAGACAGCGTGAGCAGGGGAGGGTCAGAGAGAGAGGGAGTCACAGACTGAAACAGGCTCCAAGCTCTGAGCTGGCAGTCAGCACAGAGCCCGACGCGGGGCTCGAACCCACGAACCGCGAGATCATGACCTAAGCGAAAGTCGGACGCTTAACCGACTAAGCCACCCAGGAGCCCCTGGAATACAGTTTTAATAGAGTTCCACCTACTACTCATTTGCCTTGTTCCTAGGGCTGACCTGTTTGGGACTTTGAACTGAAATCAAAGTGTATGCTGTATGCTGGTGTATACAGCAGAGTGTTTCCTTTTGAGAGATGTTGAAAGAACTCTGATCTTTCATCTTCTCAGTACTGTGACACTGCAAAATTCTGCTCTGCTTTACAGAGGTCTGGGCTTAGCTTTTAAAGTTCCATCTTATAAAATTTCAGACCTCAGTTAATGGTGATAACTGAACATATATTTGAGGTTCCTCAGGCTTTCAATTTTGTCACTCCAGCCTGTGAGGCTATAAATGTCTCTGCTAATTTCTCTTGTCTCACCTGCAGCCTTCTGCCTGGGGAGAAAATCTGGATCCTTACCCTCTTGCTAGAGTTGGTAATTGCAGATGGCTGAAAACTGTCACTTTGCATCTCCATGGTTCTTTCCTCTCTGCATCCTTAACCCTCCTGGGCCACTGTTGCTTCTGTAACTCTCTTAAACCTGAAATATCACCTGTTTCTCTGGCTTTTCTAGTTATTTTCAGTGGGAACATTATTTGCCTGCCAACTACTCCATCGTACCCAGAAGTGAGAGTTCTACATTTTCCTTTTATGGGGCCTGCATAGTACTGCATCATATGAGTGTCTCATTTAAAAATCAAACCTCTCCTTTAATTACATTCATTTTCTCATTATTATAACGTTCATCTTTGTAGGTCTACCAATATACGACTCCAATTATTTTAATAAGATAAATTTATGGAAATAAAATTGCCAGATCACAGGGTATGATGATTTACAATTTTGACAGATATTGTCAAATGGCCTTCTAGCAAGACTGTACACTAGGCTGAGCTGATAGTGTCTAATAAATGACCATTGAGTTGTTTTGAGTCTGTCACTGTCCTCTCTGCCTCTTCAGGTGCCTCAGAGGTCTTCCAGCCCTCTCTGTTCCAGCCTCAGTCTTCTGTGGTGAGTGGACGAGGCAATCCACAGATCTGGTGTGTGGTGCAGGGAAGTCCAGCCAGGGTTCATGTCCTATCTTGGTACCGGCAATCGAAGGGGAGTGGCCCCACCTTCCTGCTGAGTCAGCGAGAAGGGTCTCCCCCGACCTATGGTTCCGGTGTGAATCCTCGCTTTCTGGCAGAGATGGACCCAGCCCAGAATGCTGCACTCCTGACTGTGGGCAATGCCAGCCCTGCTGATGAGGGCACCTACTACTGTGCCATATGGTTTTCAGGCCAGTATATCTTTGGAGAAGGTACCCAACTGCTTTATCAAGGTGAGTCTAAGTGTGTAGGGATCTGGTGCTCCTAGTGCATAGGATTGCAATGGAGCAGGTGGCAGTGGGCAGAAAGGTGTCAATGGTGGAGGCCCCTTGGAGGAAGCCCTGGTCAGTAGGGATGACAGAAAGAGAAGGAGGGCTCAGAAGAGTATACTTCCAGCAGGGAAAAGGCTGACGCTTCTGGAATTGGCTGGGAGCATTTGAGGATGGACACAAACCCCTTAGACCTGGACTTTTAGGCCTGGGAGGGGAAGCCTCATCAAGAACATTAAATCCATTTCCTTCCCTTGCTCTGTAGTAAGGATACTGAAGGCCCAGAGGACAGAGGAACATGTGGCAGTGATAAGCTCAGCTCATATTTTGCTTGCTGAACAGGCCAGAAGGCCAGTAGTGGGGAAAAGGAGATTCTGACGAAAGGAAGGCCAGAGAGGAAGGGAAGAAGAGTCTCCGGAGGCCCCAGAAGGAAGGGGATGCAAGAGGACTGGGTTTGGAAGAAGCTGGTAGTACTGGGTAACATCCCTCTTCCCTTCATTCCCCACAGATAAGATGCAAGCCCCGGCTCTCCAGCCACCTAGACTGAACCTGTTCATCCCAGCCTATGGCCCTCCCTTCCATGTACTTTGTGTGGCCCTAGGACATGACCCTGACCCTCTGAGGGTCTCCTGGGTCCTGGAAGGCCAATACCAGGAGGAAGAGGACTCCACTGGGGGAGATGGGGATCCCATAGTCAGCTGGCTGCAGCTGCCTCAGGAGGTGGCAGGGATGTCTGTGACTTGCCGAGGCTTGCACCAGAGTGGAGTCTCAGAAGTTGTGCTGCCGCTGCCCTGGGGCCAGGGTGAGTACAGAGGACCCAGGGGTTGTGCTCCAGTCTTCCTGAGGCAACCACCTGGAACCCCCACATCAGTTACCCCCTGGCAAACCAGGAGGTCAAGATAAGCACTGCTGTGTGTGGCAAAGAACCTTGGCTCTGCCCCAGCTTCTGGGTGAAGCCTGGACTTGGCTTTGGAGCCTGTGCAATGACGTTCGGGGGACCAGCTACCCCTGATGCCCTAATACCCACTCTGTCACTCACTCTTGGCTTCTGTGTTCTCTAGTGGTGAATGCCTGCTTGTTTCCTTTGGGGGACACAGCAAAAGGAAGCTATTTGAAGGGCATCTATTCTGTTCCAGGGCACAGGAGAAGGCTGGAACTAGACAATGCAAATGAGACTGGACACATTCTTCTAGGTATGGACCCCCAGACACTGACCTGGGTCCCCCTGGGTCACAAAACCTTGACTTTTCACTGTCATTGACCCATTCAGCAAGCATTTATGGAGTCCTAAGTATCTGTCAGGGCAGAGAAATAACTGGAACACAGTTTGAACATTAGTGAGTCTAGAAGGGTAGGTCAGACACTGAACCAAAGTTTAAATCGGAAGGAACACTGCACTAACGGTCCCAAGACAGGAACACAGGCGATGTTCAGGGGCTCAGCCAGCAGAGGGGCCCTCCGCAGGGGGGGTCTGGGAAGCTCCTGTGAATGATGCAATCAGAGCTGAGCCCCGAGATTCTGGCTGGAAAAGGTGTAGACCCGGTCCAGAGCACCTGGGTCTAGTCCTGGTTCAGCCCTCAACTCTCTGTGGCCCCTGGGGGGTCTTTTACCTTCTTCTCTTGGCTTTGGATCCACCCACCTACCTACCCCACCCAGTCCCGATGGTCTCTGCCCTTACAGATCTTAAGTCTAACTTTTAATTTGTAAATGGGGAGTAATACAACTTCACAGAGCATAAAGTGAGCCAGAGACGGCTTTTTAGGAGGCAGGGGCAGGGAGAAGACCGTGAAGACATAACATCGGAGGGCTAGGTGGGTCCACTTTCACCCTGTGCCTGTCTCCCTGGCAGTGGAGCTGGAGCAGACCCTTATCGCCACCACCTACTGCTACCTGGGACTGCTGGGCGCAGCTCTCATCTATGGCCTCATCCTGGCTGCTCTCTGGAGGAATCGCTGCTGTGGGGCCCACCCTATGGAGCCGCTCCCCAGAGGGGGTCAAGGAGTGGCCCCCCGTTCCAGGGCACAGGTGGGCAGGAGGCGCACTCCTGGCGCGGCCCGGGTCCCGGTCCCAGAGCACACGGGGCTGAGCCCCAGCGGCTTCCACGTTCTCCGAGGGGCTGCCCATGCCCCGGACCCGCCCTCTTTGCTCCGGCCAGCTTCCTCCTAGTTTGCTGCCTTTTGTTACCTGTTGGATCCCTCTTTCTCTCCCAGACTGTCCAAATTTCTCCATAAATACTGATAATTTGAGAAGACACTGCTGTGCTGTGAGTTGTTCTGGGCAAGGGAGGTGGGATCCTGGGGTCAAGGTCAACAGCTCTCAGGGGAGGCCTGTCCAGGGTCTGGTCTGACTCCGGGGACAGGTCAGCCACCCCAAGCTCCAGCGTGGGTCATACAGGCCAGTCTGGCCAAAGGGAAACGCATGTGGCAGGGCAGATAGTCAGGTTTTGCTGCTCACCAGCTGAGAAAGCCGGGTCACACCCGCCCTGTCTCACTTCTTTATCCAGCTGAGAGCTGGGTATCTAAAGTTCTCCCCTTTTTGGGGAGATTTACCCTTTGGGTAAAATCCTTTCATTCTTAGCCCTTTTTGAGAACAAATGCCAGATGGCTCTGAGGATTGAAGTTGGCCAAGGATCTTTTATCACAAAGACCACACAGAATTTTAGGGTAGGGTGATTCCTGCAGAGACTGCCAAGGCAGCACGGTCCCACTACTGCTGTGGCATCTTGTCGAGGGGCCGAGTGCAGTGGGACTAGGGAACCCACCTCTCCTTTATGAGAGCATCTTCCATGCTTGCACCACAGCAGGCAGCCTCTCCAGGACTCTCGGGAGCAGCTGGCCCCACACTCCTCCCATCCAGGGCGATGGCTGCCCAGAGTTCCCTACACACAGTGTTCGCAGTTGGTCCAAAGGCCCCCAAACCCCCTTCCTCCTTTTTTCTTCTACACTTCACCTTCTCCTGGCCTCCACGTTACACGCAGGCCCACCGTCTCCCATGTGACAGCTGCAGAAAGTGGATTTGAGGAGTTCTGAGAATAAACTCTGGCCCCAGGGTCCTCTGGTCCTTTCTCACTGGGCATCCTAGCACTTGAATCCTGGTATGGATGTTTCTACTTCAAGAAATCCTTGCGACCATGCAAAACCCTTAAGTGAGGATTTTTTAACACCCAGACGCAAATGAGCTTTGCCACAGTGAAGGAGGCAGAAGCCTCAAGAAGGGTGTCACAGGGGTCACAGCCCTGGGACTGGGCTGTTGGAATGGGGAGGCGAGGGCTGACCAACAGGGACCTGACAGGGCATGGAAAAGAAATGAGACCTAGTTCTGGGCCCAGAGGGAACGGGCCACTAGAGACGAGTGCATCCACGTGTCGTATGTGTTAAGATAGGTCCCAGCTATGCTCTTGCCGGAAAGGAGCCTTATGACGTGGTTTAAAGTGAGTAATTCCCAACATATCAGCCTGACGGTCAGAAAACCTTGGATCTGGCCTCTAAAGGTTCTATGGTCCTACTCCGCTTGACCTACTTAGCTGAGGAGACAGATACGACACTAGCAAGTGTCGCGAACGTCAGCGGCGAGTCGGGTCAGGGCGCATGGCTCGGAAGATGCTCCTTGCAGGGCAGGCAGTTGGGGGGGATCCTCCCAGTCACCAGAGAAGATTTAACAAGTAAAAGCCTGCAAACTCTTTATTAAATTCTCCCATTTCATCTGTACAGAAAAAAATGCACATTATGTTCAGGATCTTGGTAACATCTCAAAATTACACAGCATGAACATGTAAAAACAAGGAACTGCCGGGATTTTATACATAGAAAGAAAAATCATTTACAAAAGAGGCTTGTTAATTTTACTTTTCTGTATTTTCTCTTTCTTTAAAAAAAAAAAGTTCAAGGCCTAAGATCTCATACAGCATCTGCTGTTCAGTCTGTTTTTCTGCTCGGACTGAACTGGGGACACTGTGCCGGCAGAAGCCGCTTAGAAAGGCTCCCGCCGCCAGCTGTGCTGCTGACCACCTGACCCCGTGCACTAACTGCAGTCTGCCCGGGGCCTCTCCAACCCCCCTAGCTCCAGGCATAGGCCTGCTGGGCTCTGGGGTCCAGGTTCCATGGGTTCTGCGTTGGGGGAAGGCAAAAACAACATAGAGGCACATTCTGAATTTTCTCCTTGCCCAGGGAGGCTTCTCTACTGCACGTATTCAAACAACATCCCTACCGGTGTGTTGTGACAGATCTCGGGGAGGACGAAGGAGAGGAAACCACTGCCAGGATCCTGCCACCACCAGACTAAACAGAGAGTCCCGCCTTGTGCTCCAGATGACAAACAGTCCTGGGGTCTCCATAGTGATCTCACTAGATGGATGGGGGAAGCTTGTCACTCAGAAGAGTCAATCTGGGTTTGTTATGACTTATCTGTTGCCTGAGGTGAGGGCAAGAAAGGGGATTCGGTTTGAGACTCGACGGCCCTAACATGGGACCCTGGTCCTAATGGAGAGGAGGACCAAGAGGAGTATATTAGAGAGACAGCCAACCAATGACAAATGAGAGAGAGAAAGAGAGAGAGAGACAGACAGACAGACAGTAAGAAAGGCAAGCCAAAACAGGAGCTGTGGCCCCACAGCCCTTGGGAATCAGGGAGCAGTGGAAAAGAGGTGAAGGAGAGAGATGTCCCTGAAGGCCAAGGAGAAACTCAGGGTACCAGAGTACTGTACTTGACAAAGCTACATAGGTGCTATCCAAAATGGGGAAAATAAAAAGGATCTTTCAGGTTTCCCAAATCCGTAAGAACCTGAAATACAAATACATGTACCAAAATGCACACAATTCAAAAAGCCCTATTCTTCTTTTTGTTCTATGGCCAAAATTTAGGTTCAATGTGTCAGGCTGGGCTGGCTGGCTGCCAAGGGTCCCTTCCAGCTCCCTTCCCTGTATCTGCTTGCTTAAAATAAGCTGTATTGTGCATAACATGTAGTATTGGGGGGGGGGGGGCGGGGAGGGGAGAGGGAAGAAATGGGAAATGAAAGCTTTTTCTCAGAAGAACTTGAGACCAGCTAAGAAAGGAGGCCCATGAACCCATCTCTCTCTCCCTGGATGACTCCCTAGAGTGGGGGTCTTTGGAACAGAAGCTGTACCACAGCGTGGGAGTGGGGAGTATGGGAGACATTTCCAGAAGTCCCTTTCCATTTTGTCTGATAATACGTAAATGGATCCTTATAGACCTCTTTACCACTGGATTCTTTTATGATACGACTTTAGGAAACAGGAAGAAGTGAACTCTGAAAATTCTGTCACCTCTTCTAGGAAAGCAGAATCTCCCTCCCTCTTTCCCCCAGGCAGAGCTGCTCACTGTCCCCCAGAAAAGGAAGCATAGGATATGAGACAGCTAGAGGCCTGCAGTGAATTCGAGCCAGTGCCTGCTGAGTACCAGAAACCCTGGACTTCTAAGGATGCACTGGTTCGGAGCGAGCTGACTGGACCCAGAGAACAGGCAGTGGCAGCCAGGGGGTCCCCAGGGAAGGTAGAGGAGGAAGGCTCTCCTGCCAGAGTGAACCCAAGCCTCAACTGTGCTCCCACCTCAGCGCATCTTGCCAGCACATTTCTCTTGGGACAGTAGCAATAGCAGAGGAGACAGTAGCAATAGCAGAGCCGCAGCAAGGTAAGGGCTACCCAGAGCTACCCTTCTGGGAGAGAAACCCAGTTAGAGGGAAGTGTCTTATTCTTGACAGTCGCCCTGCATTTCTGATCTCCTGTACCACAGGGCCTCCAGCCCAGGACAGTAACCTCCCGACGCCTCTGGAGTGTTCTGGAGCACACTGAACATGACTCCCTGAGACCCCAGAGTGAGCTAACGAGGCCAGATGAGTTACCTGGATTTTCAGCAAATGCCTGAGGCCTTGACCTTGGAAACGCCCCCACCACTGGCTTGTTATTGTCCACAGGCTAGACATTAGAAGAGATAAAGGCCAAGGTCCATCATCAGCTTCTCCACTACGGCCACGGTTTCCTCTTCTTGACTAACTCAACTATTTGCCCATGACTGACCTATGAGGCCAGTGACCAGACGTGCCCCAGAACCTGTGTGAATACACCAAACGAGTGGCAGAATGGATACAGCTGAGCTGCAGGTTCAGACAGTGTTGGGCCCCTGCAGGTAGAAAATTGCTCAGGACGCTACCCGGGACTCTCAAGTACCAGTCTTGTGAAACTATTCCAAGCAGGATAGTGAAATGCTTTCTAGCAAGAGCAACAAAAATACTAGCAGAATTATCCCTTTTATTCTCATCATTTCTAAAGACGATACATGTGTCAAGAATCAAACTCCTTCTCAAGCTTCCAGATATGCTTCAGACAAAGCCAAAATGTCGAGACACCTTAAACTACTGCTTTGTTTTACATACACTGGGAGGGAGAATGCAGAGACAGAGGATGGTACCTGCACACTCACCAAATGGTGAATGTTTTACTCTATCCTGTACACCACGCCAGACATGTCAGAGGGCCTGCGTTCAGAGGACATCCTGGTTCTCAATCCCAAGCCCCCATGGCCCAGGTGGGAACTCCTGGGGGTGGACTATCCGGACTAGCTCAATTTAGTCCAACAATGGTGGCAGTAGGGGTATGTTGCTCAGACTCCAAGAGGTTCAAGTTTTGGAAGAATCCCAGGACAGGTGCTGAGAATCAGGAAGACCCTAAGAGCAGGACTGAGGGGACCAGGCAGTATAGCCACTCCTCTTGGTGACTTACGGTGCCCTAGGCAGGGGGATACAGCTGGTTTGTGGGTTGCACTGCCTCCCGGAAGGGTTAGCAACGAGAAAAAGAAGAAAACCACAGTATTCAAACATACATCAATCAGAGGAGACAAGGAGTAATCTGAATCAACCGATCCACAAACCGACCCACTTTGTATCGAACACATTTCAGGGGAGACAAATGTTGCAGACATCCCACAGCACATGTGGACAGTGGCAAAGGAGGGGCAGGGCAAGGAAGGGCGCCATGGTCTATGTGGACAGTTTTAGGCACATGATTTATAATACTCTGTGGACGTCTAACAGGTTAATAAAATATATATTATATAAATATATCTCCTACTGTACATGCCGCCCTCTTGTGCACCCACTGTAACTCCTTGCCCCAGACTCAAACCAAGGTGTGCCAGGTTGCACTGTGATGCCTGTGCTCCTCCCCTTTTATACCCCAAACCTGCCATCCCACACTGGAGGGATGAG